CCAGTGTGCTGCTGCTTCTCCTCCCCTAGATCTCTAAGATCCTTGTGCAGAGGGTATGTGATCACTTATGAAAAATATGGAAAAAATCTATTTAAAATGTATATACAAATGTGTTGCCTTTCATTTCTATTTTAAATAGAATTGGTTGTTTTACAAGGTGAGGGTTTACATATACTTTAACCTCCCTGGCGGTATGATTAGTTCAGATTTTTGGTGCTGAAAGCGAAACCATTATTTTGCATGGAAAAATGTAGTTTTTTTATTGTAGGCTTGTCAGTTTTAGGAATAACTCACTGAAATCTGTCTGAACAAGAGTCTAGTAAACATTCCGGATATGATAAAACTTGAAACACGAAATCATAAATTATAATTTAATAAATAATCATAAAAAATAATAATATAATAATAATACATTTAATTCAATAATATAATCAAACCAAAACACTGAAATTTGAAATAGAGCGCCAAGTTCACACATCACTGAGCAAAGTCGCAGAATCGTTTTCAGTGTCTGATGACGAATTTCCCCACGAATCATTATCACTCAATTCTGCAAGTGGTTCTGATTTACTATCGCTGTTCTCTAGCTGGTCTAAAACCCGATTTTGACCTAAAGGGACGCTTTTTGGACGCCAAGGACTTTTCTAAGTTTCCAGGCAGAAAGAACAGTAAAAATGCAGGCAGGGCACAGGACAAAGCAGTAGGGACAAAATGTATGTGAAATGCTTTGAAACAGCAATGTTTTGCTATGTAAAAATCGTTTTAAAAAAAATGAAATTTTTTTAAACTTTCAAATTTGCCGCCGGTTCCGGCACCCGTTCGTCCCGATGTCACAGGGACCGGAACACAGCATCGGCCGGAGGAGATGGCCGGAGACGCTGCAGGGGACACATCGCGGGAGCGAAGGACAAGGTAAACGCTGCAGGGAATCCCTGAGCAAAGCTGCATGGTAAGCCCGAGTGTAGCTCGGGGTTACCGTTTGTGGTACTGAAACTTTACCCCGAGCTACACTCGGGAATACCGCCAGGGAGGTTAAAGAAGTATTTCAGGTATGGATATTTTAAACTTAGTTACATTGGCCCACCTTGGACCAACTAACTATGCATACACCATACCTGTTGAATTCCCCCTGGAAGCTGGAAATCACTGTAACAGACATTGCTACTACAGAAACCTCTGCATTACCAGTGCATGGGACCCAGAAACTAGTGGAGATAGCTATACTAGTATTGCTACTAAAGTGAGTGCCAACTTCCAGGGAATCCCACAGATATGGTATATACATAGTTGAAATGGTCCAAGCTGGGCTATGTAACTAAGTAAAAATATCCATACCTGGAATTGATTGTTAAAGTAGTTGTAAACCTTAAATATGAACAAATCATATGCCTCTATAGTGTTTACTTGCCTTAATCCATAGCACTAAGTGACATTTCTGTCTGCTGCTTCGTTCCCCTGTTATCAGCATGAGTCACCTCTGATCAGTTTTCCTGGCACCAAGAAAAAAATGTTAACATGGGAGGGATCTCCAACAGATTAACAGCTTCAGCTCTGATCCTGTGTGCTATGTGGAGGGGGATGTTTCTCTTCCCTCCAATCAACTCTCAGAGCTCTCCTCACTGAGATCTGCAGTGTGTAATTTCAGCTCTCCACCCTCTAATTTCTGAACCCTCAGACAAGCTTTATAAATTCAGCACTTTGAACAGATGTAGATCGTCCGATCCAGCGAGCACTGAATCCTAGGCGATCGTGGCGGCGGTCGCGCATGCGCACTAGCGATCGCGGCCGCACCAATGAGAGCACAGGGCGGCCTATTTAAACCTGCCCTGTGCATCTCCAAATCGCCTTCTGGTCTTGTCCTGTTCCTGTGTTCCTGATTACTCCTGTGTTCCTGATACCTTGTTGCCGACCCAAGCCTGTTCCTGATACTGCTGCCTTCTCCTGCTCTGACCCCTGGCTAAATCCTGACTATTCTCTACCTGTTCCTGATTGCCTGACCTCCTGTTACTGAACCCGGCTTGTGACCTGTTATTCTTCTGCCTGCCGCTCTGCACTGTCTGCTCCGCTGTTACTGACCCGGCCCGTCTGACCACGCATACCTCTTCACGTCTGGCTCTCACCTGCTCTACGCCATTGGCTTCCGCCTCTACCACAGCTGGTGTTCCTCGGGGGTCGCGACCTGGTCTCAGGCTGCTTCAAGTCCATCCCCACCATCAGGGGCTCTGGTGAACCAGCAGACTGAGGCTTAGACTCCACGCCCTGAGGGATTCCGGCCAGTGGGCTGCTAGAGGCTACCGCCAGTCGGTCGCTGACAAGGAGACTGCAGATAAACATTTACAACTTATGTAGGAGTATCTGTCTCATCAGTCATCTGTCACTTCACTGGGTATATGTAAGGGTTTACAACCACTTTAAGTATAGGAACAGTCCTCCTCAAAGCAAGGGATCTGGCTGTGTATGAAAGAAAGAGGCATTCACATTGATGCTAGATGTTGTACGGTGTCCACTTCTGGGTCCAGAGTTCCCACATGGAAGAAAAATAAATTTGAAATATATTTTAAAAATATTCTTCCCAAATATATTGACATATATTTGAAATGCTACAATTTTGGCCATATTCAATATATTTCAATATATATATATATAGATAGATAGATATATATATATATATATATATATATATATATATATATACACACACTGTAGGTTGAAATGCGTATTTATTACAAAATATATGAAAAATATTTTTTAAACTACATTTCAAATATACTGTATGTCTTTAAAAATACAAATCTACATTTTTGGAATGCAATTACAAACATATGTAAAAATATATGTTAAAATTACTTTTATCAATTCAAGTAGATATCAATTCAAAATAAATGGCCAACGCTTATTAATTTCTACATTGCTGGAAGCTATCCTCCAAGTCACTAAATTTCCGTTGGTAGCCCTCACAGTAATATTAGATCTTCTAAAAGGAGAGTTGTAAATTAGGTATCATTTACTGTTATTAGCACATGCTATGTGGTTCAACAAGCTGCCTAAAATTGTAAACTGCTATCAATACCCTCAATATTAACAAATCTACCATTATAGTACCAGGTGAAATTTAAATGCATGGCAAATGCAAGGATTTAAGCATCCTCTTATCCATAGTTATGCTAAATACTGTACATTTACATTTTAAATAGATTAACCAAAGAAGTAAATGAGAACAATTTCAATTAACAATCTTAAATATATTAATACCTAAAACAGTCATGTCTTTAATATAATAAGTCATTTTAATAAGTTAAGTGTTATTATGAGAAACACGCAGATGAGTAAATATATCCATCCAATCTTTTCTTCACAAATTAACATTTTTGAGAAATAATTCTGTTGCATATTAGTTGAAAAGCTATGTTTAGGATCACAGCTAAAATAATATTCCAGAAACATACACTGAATTCTTCTATTTAATTTCATGGTGATGTACTCATTTGATTAGAGGTAAAGCAAGATCAGCAATGAAATGAAATTCATTCAGTATCTTACACCTACTTGTGGAAATTTTTATCTAAATGGAAACTGTTGCAGAGATGCACCGAATACAAAATATTTAGACAGTAACTATCAGGGTACTTTGACACTTAATGCAAACCTCTCCTATTGTATATTCAAGAGAAGGTAAAGGAAAAAATAGAAACTTTCACATTGGTACCTTAGGTCACTTCCTGCATATTATAATAAAACAAACATATATAAACATAAACAAATTTAAAAAATCACAGTTAATCCAAGTAAAAAAATGACTATATAGGCCTTTGTTGTTTCAAAGAAAAGTGACCTATTTCCCCAAACACCAATAAATAATAGGCAATCAATGATAAGACTTAGGGGTCTATTTAGAAACAATTTGTATAGCCATTTGTCCAGTGAATCTGAAATAGAATGTATATTCATTCTGTAAGAATTGGGCAAAAATGAATGTTCTTTAGGCTATTTTCTATTCTGAATGAAAGTTCTATTATGGACAGTAGTAAAATACCACATTATGGCCACTAGATGGAGCTGAGGATCATAGGAAATACATATGTCTTTGTAACAGGAGATACAATGTAACCATCCTAGAGAAGCTGAAGGGAATTAGCAAATAATGTAACCAATGGTTACACTGATTTGATAATTTATTTGCGTTCAGTAGAATTGTTTGCCCAATAGGAACGAAAGCACACTCAGATTTGATGGATAAATGTCTATAAGAGTGGTTTTTTAAATAGATCTAACTAGATCCTAACTAAATGACATTTACTTTGCTATAGAACTATATATGAAAACCACCATTTTTTTTAGGTAAAAAACTATGTCACCTTCTTTTTCATCCTTTTAACATATTGATGCTACTGATCCCCTCAAGGCTCTTTCAGCCACTTCCTGAATTCCTGTCTACATGCACTCAATTAACCACTTCAAGTCCGGACACTTTCACCCCCTTCCTGTCCAGGCCAATTTTCAGCTTTCAGTGCTATCGCACTTTGAATGACAATTGCTCGGTCATGCAACTCTGTACCCATATGAATTTTTTAGCATTTTTTTTGAGAAAGATAAAACTTTATTTTGGTGGTATTTATTTACCACTGGGATTTTTATTTTTTTTTGCTATAAAAATGAAAAATTCCAAAAATCTGGAAAAAAAAGTGTTTTTCTTATAAAAGTTTGCAAATAATAATCTTTCTTCATGAATCCTTGGCCAAAAAGGTACTCAGTTATCTTTTAAATAAAAAAAATAACTCAAATGAGTTTATAACCAAAAATTTTTTTGTACATTTTTATTTTTTTTTTATATTATTATTTAAGTTTTTTTTTTTTTTACATACTGTCACCATAGCAGTACAGTGACACTGTACTACTTGTGGGGGGTGATGAAGTTTTTTTTACACTGATTGCTTTTACACCCATAAAGGCTGTAAAAGCAATAATTTCTCCTTCTCTCTGACTGCATTCTTGCAACCATTGGGAAATACTGTGTGAGCTGTGATTGGTCACAGTTTGTCACATGGTACAAGGCTATTGTGAATAGCCTTGTACCATGTGACCTCTGTGATCATTCACAGATTTTACTAGTAGTAAGCAATGATGTCAGAAGTGAGATTTTGCTTACTACTATTTGTGTGATCACTGATTGGCCAATCAGCGATCACATGATCAGGACCAGGGGCGGACTGACCATTTGGAAACTCGAGCACTTCCCGAGGGCCCAGGGTCAGTAGGGGGCCCCATGAGATGCCCCTGGTACCTTTTTCATAGGCTTTTTTGAGTTTCAGCAAGGACACAGGGGCCCCATGATCCCCTATTGCCTGTGGGCCCCATGAGTTGTCAGTCCGCCCCTGATCAGGACCTCGTACAGCGATTGGTTTTCAGCGGGCACAGGATCGTGGTGCCGTGCGCTCCCAGGGAGCACGCACAGGCTCTAAATGTGGGCGCTGTTTATGATCTGCAATTCGCTCCTGCACTGCTCCTGTCCAGCTGTTTATGTACATGGACTGGACGGGAAGTGGTTAAGCATTGAGTGTGCATCATTGCTTTGAACCAGCTTCCTGATGATGACAACACAGGTAAGCAATTGGGAGATAGTTGTCGTCCTGTAACAGGAAGTGCCTGAATATGCACCTTCATAGCAGGATCACCAGGTATCATTTTAATGAAAGCTGCAAATTAAATAAGATTGAAAAGCAATTTTTTAAAATTACAATAACATGTTAAATCTTATACAGGGCTTTATTGATTGTGTTTAAATCTACTTTAATAAAATGATTAAGCAAAGAGGGAATGCTTGGATAAAATACAGAAACTGCCACATGTTTTTTTTTCAATGAAAAGATGTAAAAATTAAAAAAAAAAAAGAATAAAAAAAGCTGCTAAAGGAGGAAAAAAAAGTCCATTCGTTTTTAAGGTCCTTAACAGTCAAAAACATCATATCAAGCTATAGATTTATCTGTGTTTAAGGCTAAACAAACTAGTGGTAATTCACCAAAGATAAGCAAAATGCAAATCAACAGTACTCAGATAAGGAATCAATATGCAAAACAACAAAAACAAAAAAAAACACAAATACAAAATCACTACCTTAAAAAAATTACCTTAAATATACCTCCTAAATGAAAAATGTGGATCTTTTCTTTTCAAACGGAATTTTAAGTAGTAAGCAATATTAAAGGTTTCTGCTTTGGCAAACTGTTGCTGATGACAAAATTGATCATGTGTCTGCTAAATCAATTGTGCTAAAATCACTCCATTCATCTCTAGAAATCGCCTTCAGCAAAATATAATTTGATATTGTACTCTATTCAGTATTTGCCTGCTCACAAAGCGATGGCTAGAGGTAGAGACAGCAAGGATCTTGCTAGCTTCATTCTCTGTCTTTTTGTGACCAGAATATTTTAGTGACAAGCATTTATTTTTTGTCCATGTGTAGGTTTATTGTTTAGTATTTTATGACCACAAGGCTCTAGCCAAGGGTGCGCACCCACACACGCTCAAATGAAATTCAGATGGAAATCTACAGTACTACCTACTATATATAAGCTTTACTACTTGCTAGTCTATTTAAAATGTGTGTACTATAAAGTGCTGCTCATTGACTTTTTTAGAATATGAATTGAATGAAAACTAATTTTCCAGCTATTTTGTTTTTTTACTGAAAAAGAATTATCACGTACCAGGCTTGATGTGGTAACCAAATAGAGAGATATGCTTCAGAAAAAGTGATTAATCTTTTAGATGAATGATAAGAAAATTAAAGGATGAAAATCTTAACCTATGGTGGACTTCAACTCTGGCTCTAATAACTGCCTTAACCTTACACAATATTTTTTTAGCTCTAGTGTTTCCAGATGTAATAGTTTAGCTTGAAATGGGCAAGGCAGTGCATAAGCGATAGTTGCTTTACCCCATGCTATGGTACCAACATGTTTGCCAGTTTATGTATTTCTCCTTAGCATATGGGGTAGGTAGTCAAATTGAGCATGACTGTAAACAGCTGCTGTTAAGGGAAGATAAAGCATCTTGGCAATTTATTTATTCATGTTTTAAAAGGATGTCGCTCATACAGTGGCATTTAACCACGTTGCATTTTGCAAGTTTATGGTTCTGGTAACTGTCCAACATAATGACAAACACTATAAACATCTAGACTTGTCTTCCAGTGTAATCAGTAATCAGAAAAAACCTTATTTTAAAAATAACATTAGCATCAAAGTGCTGCATCAATATCTATTTTTCTTTTTTTTATGTAATGCAAAACATAGGGGATTTCTACATACCCCTTCCCCTGGAGCTTTCTAGTTTACCCTGGTGCTTCAGCTGGTGAAATGTCATCTCACAGATTACCCTTGATTGATATATACTATATATATATATAGTTATTATTATTTATATTTGTATAGCGCTTTTTATCCCTGGAGACTTAAAGTCTCCTTTAAAATTTTTACCTACAGGCAAGCTTATAATAAAACTTACCTGTAGGTAAAATGAATCATTTAGGAGGTATTCTACAGAACAGCAGCTGGTAAGATCCCCGGCGCATGTGCTCTGAAAGAACAGCATACGCTTGCCATTCCTTCAGAGCTGAGCGCCAAGACTTCATCGGCAGCTCAACCATTCCAGCAACCACAGCCTGGGAACCTGGAAGGAATACTGGGTAAAGATGAAAGCCCTGTCAGCAGTGACATCGCGCCACTGGAGGGCTTCGTTTTAAGGTAAGTATTTCATAATGTGCTAGTATGCGATGCATACTAGGACATTATGATATTCCCTCACAGCAGGAAACCTTTTTTGTTGTTCAAACAAGTTTACTACCACTTTAAAGCACTTTATCTGCTGATGAACTGGATGGTGAGGCAGGCCATCCTGGGCACACTTAGTAAAATAATATACAAGAGCCAGTTTTTTGATAGGAGTCAATTAACCTACCAGTATATCTTTAGAGTGTGGAAGGAAACCAAAGTACCAAGAGTACCCATGCAAAGCATGGAAAACACATGCAAACTCAATGCAGATAGTTAACTGACTAAGACCTGGACCAAAGGCCACAAGTTACAAGGCAGAAGTGCTAACTACTAATAGACATGTGCATTCCATAAATTTCATTCATTGAAGAATTTTGTTTTGTCATATTCGTTATGCTTAAGTGATTTGTTTTCACAATTTGTTTCGTATCTCCGGCTTTCTTTTTGTATATTTGTTGGTCCGGGTGTTTTTCCGAAAGGTTGCTATATATTCAATATATTATCAAATTGGATGGATTGGATGGATTTGAATCGTAAGGATTCAAAATTTTCAGACTCTAGTCCAACCCATCAAGAAAAATGGAATGAGCTGAATGGACAATATCAACTGGCATCATCTGCATGTGAATTAAGAAATTTGGATCCATTTGCTATCTGAATTGAAATTATTGAATGTATTTGAAAATGTAATTCATTTCCCCATATGCCCGAACTACTATTGCATCATGTGACGCTATCCAAATGAAACGAATGAAACTAATGCATTCATTAATTTTGTTATAAGTTTTTTCAGGTTCATTGACATTCATTACTATGTCCATTTAGAGATTTGTAAACATGAAATATAAATGAATTTTTTTTGCTCGAAAAACGAATAGTAACAAAACGTAATGCATATGTCTAACCACTAAGTCACCTATAGTACACACTATATGGTGACATTTCGGGTATTGGTCTACTTCATTTCTAAAGCATTATATGCTGTCTGCTATCTGGATTTTTGCTTTTTCAGAAAATGATGGACTGCTAAAAAATGGCCACATTGCAGTAACAGCATCAGAACTCCTATCTATCACCACACTGATCTATCATCAGTAACATTTGATCGATGTTGTTTTGTGTATGAGTGCTTTACTCTTATGTGTACAATACACAGAACTGCCCTCACAAAAAACTATACGGCAACTTATATACAAACCAGAACCAGACTATCCACAAGGCAATGTAGGCAGGAACCCCAGCCCAGTGGACGTCTAATGGGCCAAACTACAACTTTCATGATTTTTCAGTGAACCGTAGGGGTAGCGTAATTGGTCCAAGCTGTCCACCTGGCTGTCACTTAACAAAGAAGGAGGCATCTGTATATAGTTAGTTTCCAATTTGATCATATCTTTATATACAATGCAAATGGGGCAACTTCTCTTTGCCTGTTGCAATGCTTATGTCATTTGAAGGGAAGAAATTAATTAAAGCTGCAACCTTGTCCATTCTGCTTTAAGCAGTCTCTGGTGCAAGTAAAATATATATATCAAATCCTGCATCAGATTAATAAGTGATAAGATATGTTTGGTGTAAATTCATATTGTAAAGACATTTTTGCTGAATTTGCAAACAAATGTAATAAACCTTTAATTTTACAAGATGTCCACACATTTCTGGACATTGTCAAGCAGTGGCTGTAATATTCTTTAGCTATTGTAATTTATTGTAAACTACCATAGTTACTGCATGTGCAAATAAATTAAAACTTACATACCCTTCATATACCCCTCCATCAAGTAAAAATACCTTATGGTATTTCAGTATCGCAAATACTTACCATTGCTTTTATACAAGTCATGAGTCTAAAACTGACATTACTTTCCATCTTATTTTACAATGAGGTTTGAATAATAAAAATTATTAATTTGCTAAATTTTGGGTTGTTTAAATATTGGCATACAGATCTATCTGATCCATAGAACATCATGCAATTCAGGAATACAAGTCAGCTTGATTCATGAACTGTATGATTTTCCTATGCATCTATTCCAGACTATTAGCAAATCTGCAATACAGTAATTTACCTGCTTTTTCTTTAATAACTGAGCATTTAGGCTTTTAGTTTTCTTTTATTTACAGCAATTTCTGTTTAAATTGTGATATTGTGCTATGCAACACTTGACAGAATTCATATATTTTCATACTTGAATCCATGCTCTAGCACAAATTACAGTGTAATGCCAAATTGGTCAGATGCCAATTAACCTTCCCCTCTGTTTTTGGATTGTTGGAGGAAGCCAGAGCACCAAGGAGAAACAAACTGCTGGCTGGATTCACACTCATTGACTGCAAATAACAGCAAAACATAATAAAGCTTTAAGTATTTTTTCTGAATAACAAAAATATGCTGAAACAATAAAAAACAAATTGACTTACTTGCTAAGGAATAAATATTTTTCAAAAACCTGAGAAGTCTGAAATCCCAGCAGAAGCCTGAAAATTAGTGCAAAATTTAACTTTTTACCAACAGTTACCAATAAAACAGATAAGCAGAGTAATTTTGCACAATTGATTTTGCTGTGAAATTATTGCTTTTACCACTTGTGGTAAAATGTTATTATAGCAGATTTTTTTTTTAATTTCCTTACTGAGCTGCTAAAATTATATTTGCTTGAAAAAAAGTTTACTATTTTTTTTTTTTAAATAAGGAGACTATAGGGCCCACTTTTTGCACATGAAAGATCCAGAATAGTTGAAAGGAGCTTCTATAACCCTCAACATCCATTAAGGACT